TCAGCTGGTGACATTCCAGGAGGTGACATTCCTCTGGCCTCATCGCCCAGGGCCAGTTACGAGACAGCTAGAGACCACCCCTGTAGTTCACAGCCCTGGCAAGGCATGCCCCCTGGGCTCTGGAAATGTAAGTGCGGATGTCCCCCTTAACCAGCGGCTCGCTTTCCATGGTTTCAATTACCAGTGGTCAACCACGGACAGGAAGCAGATGATCCTCCTTCTGATGTCATGTCAGAAAGTCGGTAGTAACCCCATGCTGTGTCCCATGCCTGCGTCTTTCACCTCCCGTCCTCTCATCATGGGGGCATCTTGTCACCTCACATCAGCACGGGAAGGGTGAGCACAGTACAGTAAGATATTTTGAGAGAGTGACCACATTCGCACAACTTTTATTACAGAATTTTGTTATGATTGGGTTATTATTCATTATGGTTGCTATTTATCTCTTATTTACTGTGCCTAATTTATAAATTAGACTTTATCATAGGTATGTACGTATAGGACAAAACATCGTATATATAGGGCTCAGTACTATCCATGGTTTCGGGGATCTGCTGGGGGTCTTGGAGCATGTTCCCAGCAGATAGGGGGGACTGCTGTAATAGAAGTCTTCTTTTTTTGTTGTTGTTAAAGATTTTATTTATTTATTTGACAGAGAGAGACAGCAATAGAGGGAACACAAGCAGGGGAAGGGTCAGAGGGAGAAGCAGGCTCCCCACTGAGCAGGGAGCCCGATGCAGGGCTCGATCCCAGGACCCTGGGATCAATACCTGAACTGAAGGCAGACGCTTAACAACTGAGCCATCCAGGCGCCCCAAAATCTTCTTTCAATCGCATTAGCCTCTCCCATCATCACTCAGTCTCCTCCGAACATTCAGATTTTGTGGCTGCAATTGATACACCCACACTGTGACCTGAAAAATTCCCATGCCCTACAAAGGGAGATGTATATAAGAGTGCTCACTGCAGCATTGTTGGTTATAGTGAAACACTGGAAACAACCAGAATGTCCATCAGTAGAATGATGTTGTCCCATGGTCCCATAATGGGCTACCCAAAAGCAGCAAAATGAAAAGACGAGAGCCTTGTGTATCACAACACTGAATGAAAATGGCAAATCGCAGAATAAATCAATGTGTTTGCTTACGTGAAATTTAGAAATATGTATAAAACAATACTACACATTGTTTATAAATCGTATTCTTGTAATAAAAGTGTAAAAACATGGAGGAGACAGATTCTGTCCAAACTGGGAACCTGGTTTCCCGTGGGAAGGGGAGTGTGAGGTAAGATTAGGAAACGGTTCAAAGGAGGTTTCACCTCCATCTGTGGTGTTTCACTCCTTTAAGGCCAAATATTTGACCGAGATGTGGTGAAATGTTAAGGTTGTTCAATATGTCTGGTAGGTACTTGGATGTTTGCTGTTCTATTTTGGTACTTTACTGTATGTGGGAGCTATTTCATAATGAGAAGATATGATTTCTCAAGGTCGTATAAAGGACAACATGACAGGATGACAGGATGCCGGCAAGCTCTGTCCCCACCTCCGCCGTGTCAGATTTCCTCCTCTCTCCTTGAGCCTCATTTTTAAAAATTGCTGACTTTTTAGAAAAAGGTGTAAACACTTGCACCACATGGAGAATACCCCGATAGTCAATCAAGTATTCGTTTGCTATCCTCGGTGCGGTAGCCAGCCTCCAAATCGACCCTTAACAATTCCTACCTTCTGGTATTCACACCCCTCCTACATTTTACCCGGGTTGGCCTGTGTGGCCAATGGAATATGGCAGAAGGGATGGTATTGCTTTTGAGATGAGGTTATAAAAAGACTACAATTTCCATATTGGGTTCACGCTATTTCTTGTTCTCTCTCTCTTTCTCTCTCTTCCTCTCTCTCACTTTCTTGCATCTCACTCTGGGGAAAGCACACTGTCCTCTTCTGAGCAGCCCCTTGGAGAGGTCGGTGTAGTGAGGCATCAGAGCTTTCTATCAATAGCCAATCTGTGACACAGCAATAGGTAACTAATACACTCCATGTGTCCGCCATGTTTCCCCCGTGGGTACAAGATGACTGCCACAGCTCCAAACATCGAGTTCTCACAGGGCGTCAGCTCAGGCAGGAAGAACAGCGGGTGGAGCCACAGGGGCTCTCCCTATGTACTTTCTCCTTTTACCAAAGAGGAAAGTATTCCTTAGAAGCCACCAGCAGATTTGCCCTTGCTTCTCACTGACCACAACTGGATCTTATGATTGCTCCTAGATGCAAGGGGGGCTGGAAAATCAAGTATCAGGTCTTTCAGCTACTGTATAGGGATGTGGGCAGAGAACAAGTGGATGGGGAATGGCTACCGTGTAACAACCACAGGAGCTGCCAGCCCTTCCCACAGTTTCACTTTGTCTGGTTATTTCCACCCGGCACTCTTCACTTTTTCCTCCATACTCTGTATTCACTGTGAACTGGAAAGTAAGCCTTAATTAGATTCAGGTTAAACATTATTGGCAAGATTATTCATGGGCGATGCCGTGACCTTCATACTCACTCACCTCAAGAAACAACCAGTTTCATCACTAAATAAACATTTTACAAGATTTGAGCAGAGGGTGGTGCGCCGTCATTGAGAAGCTAACCCAGAATCCAGATGCTGTCTTTCTCCCTGACAGCTGTGTCCTGGGCAGCTTCACATATTTTATACATGTGGGAACTCTGGGTTCCTCTGTAAATTCGTTGTGGGTTGTCTTGTTGGGATCGTGCATGGTGAGCGGTCTCTGTTTCTTGCCCGTGACTGCCTTGGGAGCTGATGAGTCACCTGGGCAGTGCTAACTTAGTTCAAACCCCTGACAGGATTATGAGCCGACTTAAAAAATCAAATGCAGAAATGCTGGAATGAGATCCTTTCCTGATGGCCTCCACTTGAAGCTCTTAGGGCTTTCAGTATAACACCAGGAACGAGGGGAAATGAGATGAACGCTCTTAGTTGTTCAACTCCGAGGCCCAGGACAGGCGAGGCCTGCGGCCCACTGGCCCTCGTCAGATGTGCTCTACGGAGACTGCGGCCTAATCCAACAGCCGGGCTTGGGAAGCGGGGATGCCTGAGGCCGCGTCGGGACAAGGCACCATCCTTGAAAGGATGGTGGGCCCCAGCCTTCTCGAGCTCCGGCAGCCTGTGTAGAGCAAGGTGGTCTTGCTTCCTATTTCCTATATCCCCAGAGAACTGGGGATAGCGAGGTGAACCTAGAAGGAGAGTACTTGTCCAAGGTTGTCTTTCTTCAACATAGCCCCATGCTAGCCTCCTCTGAGTTCTCACCCTTCTCGGCTGCCTCAATGGCAGGGCTCTCTGCCCCCTCTCTGGAGCCTTCCCACCAGCTGTCTCCAGCTCCAACGTCTTCTTGCCTTCTCAGACACGTCTCAAAGTTAACTCGTCCTCTACCCAGTTTCCCCAGCTCGGCTGCAGTTTCCTTAAGCCAGCCAAAGGCCGCCCTACCCCTCCCGACCTGCAGGCTGAAAATGAGGCCTCAGTAGTGACTCATCCTCATCCAACCAGTCCCCTGGTCATGAGAGTCTCTGCAACCGTGGCTTCATTAGCTTGTCTTCCTGGCCTGGCCTCCAACATCTGTAGAAGGCTACAGTGCTATTCTCCTCCTTCATCCTCCAGTCCTGGTCTCTTTGCTGGGTCTGAGCCCCCCTGCCAGCTCCTCTTGCATGTCGCAAGTGGATCACAGCTTCCCCTTCCGACCCCATTTTCCATTCCACCTTATCTCCCAGATCCATCTGTTCCAGAAGCCTTGACCCTTACTACCCTTTAGTAATAATAATAACAGATGTACCACATGCCAGGCATTTTACAGCCATATCTTTATAGCTTCCGGCTTCTTCACATCCCCCAACCCCCAGCCCCACTATTTAGCTTCCCTGGTGCTTCCAGCCCATGCTACTCACCCTCGTATCTTAACTTTCCTGGCAGGAATCTCAGCCCTGCACAAGTTGGCCCTTAATTATAGACTGCCCCGTGTGGTTCTCTGGTTATTTCACGTGTGCTGGTCTTATTCCGAAGAAGCGGTTAAGCCTCATACCGCTCTGTGTGTGTGCGTGCGTGCCCGTACGTTTTCCCTCTTACACACACATTTAATCAAAGGTCCCTTCCCAGATGGAGGAGGCAATTATGTATCTTGAACTATCCACCCAAGAGAGAAAACTCCCTCCTAACTGAATCCCGGGCGTCACCCGCATTGTGGATTCCAGGGTGGACCAGGGAGGCCAAGAGGGGATGGGAGTTCCCTGCGACGGGCGAGGCCCTGACATCATATCCTAACAGAGTGCGGAGCTGGACTGAGCACTGAGTGGGGGACTTGGTGTCTCGATTCTAATTCTGCTCCTGCCACTGTACGGTCTTGGGGGGGTGGGGAGAGGTGTGATCTTGCCAGCTTTGTGACATCCGAGGCAGAGAAATTTGTGGACTGAGGAGGGGACTCCTTCCCAGGGCCTCAGTGCACAGCTCCAGGGGGGCATGACCAGTAGCCAACCTGGGTCCCCAGGCACCACCTCCTTTGCCCTCTGGGCTCCAACATACCTCTGACCCTGATGCCCTCATATCTGGCCTCCCAAGCTGTACATGCTTGGGGTTAAATATTGCCATCTCAAATCTATCATTAGAAGAGTGTGCGGTATGAAGCTCCAAACACTTGGAATGATCTAGATTTCAGATTGATTTTTTCCTGTGTGCTTAGGAGACAACATGAAAGTCTGGGGCTTGGCGAGAGGGTGCCACAGGTGAGTGGGTCAGTGTAGGGCCAGGGAGAAAGGGTGGGGAGAGATGGAGAGGCGGTGGTGGGTGGGGCCCTGAAGCCTGACTTCCCTTGCTTTACAATTTTGCCCGTGGCCAGTCCTAACATGTGAGCAAACGCCCACGTTCTTACGTAGGAGCAAATAAAAACAATTGTGTAACACACCACACACGCCCCACGGAACCTGGAGAAGGAGCCCAGGGAGGGGTGATGCCGTCGGGGGCATGGGTGGTGTGAGTGTGTCCCCCTCAAAAGCCATAACCAACCTGCTGGCTCTGGCCCCTGTGGGGGAGGGGGCACCTTCCTCTTGGAGGGAGGCCAGCATATAATTCCCTGGCCGCCTCAGCGTGTCGGGGAGAGAGGCACCCGCTGATAACCATCGGGGGAGGTTTTGCAACTCCGTGTGGGAAGCCTCCTGGGCTGCGGGCTGGCGGAGCAGTGCCTGCCTCTTTGGGATGGTCCGGGTGGTAGCTGCCGACACTGCTAGGCGTACGAGGCCCCGGGCAAGGGCTGAGGAGCCTGTGCCAGAGATGAATCGAGCCACGCCATGAAGCCAGGGGGCTGCTCGCAGGCCCAAGACGCTGCTCACATATTCGGGGTGCCTCCTGCACCTCGACCTGGGCCTGAAGCCTTTACCAGCCTTTGGGACTGCCTCCTGGAGGAGCTCGGCAGGCCCAGGCGGTGGCTGTGCGCGCCACCCGTGGGTGTCCCGGCCGACGGGAGAGACGGCCCGTTTCTCGGCTCGGGGCCGGCAGGGCAGCTTGGCCTGAGCTCCAGCAGGAGAGCAGCTTCCGAGGGGCGAGCACTGGGGGGCCGAGGAGATGGAAGAACAGGTGTTCAAGGGGGACCCAGACACTCCTCATTCCATCTCCTTCTCCGGCAGTGGGTTTCTCTCCTTCTACCAGGCCGGGGCCGTGGATGCCCTTCGAGACTTGGCCCCCCGGATGCTGGAAACCACCCATCGCTTTGCTGGGACGTCAGCAGGTGCAGTGGTCGCAGCTCTGGTCATCTGTGGGATTGAAATGGGTAAGGCCTTGGTTCTGGGTGCCCTGGGGGAGCCTCTGGGGAGAGTCCTCCAAGTGGAGCCTGAGGATCGCTTGGGGACGCTTCGGGGAACAGAGCCAGGCCTGCTGGGCGGTGGGAAAGCAAGAGGAGGGTTTGAGCGGGACGGTAGGCAGCTGGGACGTTTGAGGTTGGGGTCAGCCAGGTCCCAGTTTCTGACCCACTGGGTGAGTGTGGACCCATCTCTCCCTCTCCCCCTCCCTCAACACTCTTCTGTGATGCTCTGTGGGCCAGGGCCTGGGAGAGGGAAAGGCAGTAGCTTTCCTCCAACATCCTGGTCTTGGAAGTTATGCCATGACACAGTCGGATACTGGGGTGAAGTGTCATTCCTGTTTGGCCTCTTTTAAAGTGCCTGTATTAATATTAAAGTATTGTCCCTGGGTGGGGCAATACTTCACATCTTTACTGCCTCGGCGGGGTAGGTTTGTCCGCTCAGCTTCCAGGTGGCTGGAGAGGTAGAAGCCCTGTGGCTACGGGGATGAACCAGAGGGGGAGAAACCGGGAAGGAATCCGGGAGATCTCACTTCACCTTCTTTCCTGCGGTGCGGGGCCCCAGAGAGAAGGATGGGGTCCCACCTCTGAGCCAGAGGGCAGGGGAAACGGACACGTGCCCAGTAGTCCCACACTGCAGGGCTAGACCAGCGTCCTCGAGGGCTGCCTCGAGTGCATTTATTCATTCACTGTGCCACTGTACAAAGTCCGTGCGCCGCCCGCCCTGACCCGTGAAGCAGACATTCTAGAAGGATGAGACAGAAAGTAAACATTCAGACAGGTAACCTGATGATGTCACCTCAGGACGCCATGAGATCTATGGATAAAATGGTAGCAGGAAAGGGGCAGAGAATAAAGTGGGGGCTATTTTTTTTTAAGATTTTATTTATTTATTTGAGACAGAGAGAATGAGAGACAGAGAGCATGAGAGGGAGGAGGGTCAGAGGGAGAAGCAGGCTCCCCGCCGAGCAGGGAGCCGGATGAGGGACTCGATCCCGGGACTCCAGGATCATGACCTGAGCCGAAGGCAGATGCTTAATGACTGAGCCACCCAGGCACCCCATAAGAGTATTTCTTTTATTTTTTTTTAAGATTTTATTTATTTATTTGAGAGAGAGAGAATGAAAGACAGAGAGCATGAGAGGGGGGAGGGTCAGAGGGAGAAGCAGACTCCCTGCCGAGCAGGGAGCCCGATGTGGGACTCGATCCCGGGACTCCAGGATCATGACCTGAGCGGAAGGCAGTCGCTTAACCAACTGAGCCACCCAGGTGCCCCTGCAATACCTTTTATTGCCTAATGTCAGGAGTGACATCTATCATTTCAGCTGCATTCAGTCAGTCTCACACACCAACCCTGGAGGAGAGTATGGGGAAGGGGCTCCACAACGGTATAAATAGCAGGAGGCAGGGATTATTTTTTTTAATTAAATTTTTTTTTAAAGATTTTATTTATTTATTTGAGAGAGAGAGAATGAGAGAGAGCACATGAGAGGGGGGAGGGTCAGAGGGAGAAGCAGACTCCCCGCCGAGCAGGGAGCCCGATGCAGGACTCGATCCCGGGACTCCAGGATCATGACCTGAGCGGAAGGCAGTCGCTTAACCGACTGAGCCACCCAGGCGCCCAAGTGGGGGCTATTTTAGAAGGAGTGGTCAGGGAAGCCTTTTTGGAGGAGGCGGCATTCAAACAGAGGCCAGAGTGATGTGAAGATGGGAGGAAGAGCGTTCCAGGGGGACGAGCGGCCGGGGAGCCAGGAGTGGGCGCCACGGCTGGAGAGGCAGGCGGGGGTCAGATGGCGCAGGCGCGATGCCTCGCAGCCAGGGCACCACGCTCGGGCTTCACCGGGAGAGCCGAGGAGCACCGGCAGGCTGGACGGGGGTGGCGTGGCGAGGTGGTGAAGAGCGTGTGCTCCGGCGGGGTTGGATCCCAGCTCCGCCATTTCACCATGTGGACCTGGGGCGAATTACTGAATGCTCTGTGCCTCCGTTTCTGCCCCTGTGAAGTGGAGATTCCGCCTGGACCTAATGCCCAGTGTTGTCAAAGCATTAACTGAGCGAGAGTGACGGGTTTACCACGGTGCCTGGCACATGGCGATGCTTGGTGTGTCCCAGCTGCCTGGTTGGGGTTTTTAAGGAACCTCAGCTGCTGGCAGACTGAGTTGGAGAGGGAAGGGTGGCCGCAAGGAGACTAGCGGGAGACTCTGGCGTGTGTGTCTAGCGAGGGGTGAACGCAGCGGGGAGCCGGGTCTTGAGGGGCGGTGAGAAGCCGGTGGGTTCGGGATGTACTTTGGAGGGAGAGCCAGTGAGACTTGCCAAAGGGCCAGCAGCGGTGCGGGAGGAAGGGCTACCAGCGGGCCGCCTTCCTGCCTGGGGACCTCTGTGCTGGGTGAGAAGTCTGTCTTCATTGTGAAGAATAATAGTGACGCCCATTCACCGGGTACCTTATGGGCAAGATCGTTTTTTTCCTTCGAATATTTCGCAAGTTATAAATTCTTTCTCACTGTAAAAAAATTCAAACAACGCAAAAGTATATAGGGTTTTTCTTTTTAAAGCCTCTGCTCACCCTCCTTGTCCCCAATCCCACTCTCCCTCCTGTAGCCAGTTCTAAGCACTGTGCTTAGATCCTTCTAGATCTTCTTTTTTTTCACTTAAAAACATTTTTTAATTCCAGTATGGTTAACATAGAGTGTTGTATTCATTTCAGGTGTACAATATAGCTATGCAACAATTCTATACATTACTCGGTGCTTATCCTGATAAGTGTGCTGTTAATCCCCTTCACCTGTTTCACCCATCCCCCACCCATCTCCCCCTCTGGCAAGCACCTGTTCTCTATGGTTAAGAGTCAGTTTGGGGGTTTGTCTCTTTTTTTCCTTGTTCGTTTGTTTTGTTTCTTAAAGTCCACCTGGGAGTGAAATCATGGTATTTGTCTTTCTCTGCCTGACTTATTTCACTTAACATGATACCCTCAGGGTCCATCCACGTCGTTGCAAATGGCAAGATTTCATTCTTTTTTATGGCTGAGTAATTATCCATTCATCTATCAATGGACACTTGGGCTGCTATTATAAATAATGCCGCAATAAACATAGAGGTACATATATCCTTCTGAATTAGTGTTTTTGTATTCTTTGGGTAAATACCCAAGAGCGGAATTGCTGGATCATATGGTAATTCTATTTTTAACATTTTGAGGAACCTCCATACTGTTTTCCATAGTGGCTGCACCAGTTTGCATTCCCACCAACAGCACACAAGGGTTCCCTTTTTCCCACACACTCACCAACACTTGCTGTTTCTTGTGTTTTTGATTTTAGTCATTCTGACAGGTGGGAGGTGCTGTCTCCTTGTGGTTTTGATTTGCATTTCCCTGATGATGAGTGACATGGAGCATCTTTTCATGGGTCTGTTGGTCCCCCTACATCTTTTTTTAATGCCCAGAGTCCTCTTTGAATGTAGCAGTTAATGCTTCAGCCGCACAATAGACCCTAGAACAAGCCTTCAGAAAGGAGCTGGGTGAGAGCCCGCACTCTCTCATCTGGGAATCACAGAACTCCTGCCCTTGGAGACATCCTGCCTCTGGGATTCTCTCCCTTTCCAGGTATCTGTGTCACTCACCTGCTCCATTGCTCCCAGCCTCTTCATGTCTTTATTTTGACTTCTTAAAGTACACCATCTGAGAGAGTCAATGGTGTTTCCATCCTCTGGCATTTAAGGACTCATCAGAATTCATTCATTTCAATCAGTTCAACCCATACTGTCAAAAACGGACTCGGACAGGCTGAGGGGAGAGGCACTAGAACCCATGGGGAAACCTAACTGTAGGTGTGACTAAGGCCTGGACCACGCACACTGCCCGTGATCAGGAGAGAAGTTCAAGGAGGATGCACATGGGACTTGCCCTTGTCACTCAGCGGCCTGTTTCTGAGATTTATCCATGTCATTCCAGCCTCCTTCATTTGGGTTAACTGCCACGTAATTTACTGTTAGCACTGTTCTAAGTCTTCAGCATATTAATTCACCCAGTCCTCACAGCACCCCCCTGAGGTGAAAACTATAATTGCCTCCATTTACAGAGGAGGAAACTGAGTCACAGAAGATTTAACTAACTTGCCTAAAGTGATACAAACAAGCACGCTGAAAATCGGGGATTAGAACCCAGTCTGGTCTTACCTTTTATTTACTTATTTATTTATTTATTTTTATTTTAAAAATTTTTTAAAGATTTATTTATTTCAGAAAGAGAGAGGGTGTGCACAAGTGGAGGGGGGAGGGCTAAGGGCGGGGAGGAGCCTGTGTTGAGCACAGAGCCCAATGTGGGGCTCAAGCTCACGATCCTGAGATCGTGACCTGAGCCAAAACCAAGAGTTGGACACTTAACTGACTGAGCCGCCTAGGCACCCCTGGCCTCACCTTTTAAACCACTCTGTTTCTTGACAAAGCAGTGTCAGGGAGTGCCAATGCCGGTTGCATGGCTCCTAGGGTCAGGGAAGTCTCTCAGAGCAGATGGAATTTGCACCCGGACCTGGAGGGGGCGAGGGAGTGAGCCACGAGACTATCTGGGGAGAGCATTCTACAAAGAGGGACAAGTGACTTGTGAAACTCCCTGTCATCAGTCAGAAGCAGAGCAAGAAGCAGGACTCCATTTCCTGACTTTCTTTGGGATCTTTACCTCTTTCAGTATATATTCCATTAAGACTATATCATGGCTCATCTAGCCATTCTGTGGATGGAACAGCCACGTTTTTGTTATCAACAACACTGTGATGAACATCCTTGTTCACGTCTCACATGCCCACATAGAATGTTTTCCTAGGATACGCATTCACATTAACATTACCAGACTTGGGGCGCCTGGGTGGCTCAGTTGGTTAAGCAGCTGCCTTCGGCTCAGTTCATGATCACAGGGTCCTGGGATGGAGCCCCACGTCGGGCTCCTTGCTCAGCGGGAAGTCTGCTTCTCCCTCTGCTGCCCC